TTATCTATAACTTCTTATCTCCTATTAAATTCTTAACCTTTTTTTGATAATTTGTATTATTCGTTATTATCTACCAAGTGATAAAGATTAAAAAAAAAAAAAATTGGCTCTAAATGAGAAAAGTATTAATCCTGAAATTGGTTCGTTCTGAATGAGAAGAGTATTAATAATGAAATAATAAAGGCTACATGGGAGAAGGCAGCACAAAAATCTCACAAAATTAATTTTCTTCACTATATTTATAAAAGGTAATAATTTGATATTCTTTCTATTAGTTATTAAAAATAATTTGTAGTAGATCATTGTTTTTTTTTTTCTTTTTATAAGGCTGTCATTCGCTATAGTATTTCTCCAATCCCATCTTTAAATTCTCTCTTTGAAATTTTTGTTTTTTCAATAATTAAGTTTAGAATCAATTTCTTATCAAATTTGTTTTCTTGGTCCTTATTTTATTGAAGGATTGAGACGAATAAAAATTTCATATAATATATGAAATTAATGAATATAATACAAAGATGATAAGGAAGTACTACATGTTTGTTAATATCTCTATGTTATTATTAGTTGATTTGCTATATTATACTATCAATTTAGAGCCCATATGATTTAATTCAATGTCCATGACTTTATTTGTATTCGACCATTTTTTCCCACATATATAATTTTTTTTTTGGGTATATAATGATTAAAGCTATCATTTGTTATATTTCTTCAAGTAAAATTCAAATAATTTTTCATCATTTTTTTTTATAAATAAGATAGATTAAAACTATTCTCTTATATAATTTTTATAATACTATGACATTCTTATCTTGATTAATTTTTTTAAAATGACGTAAGAACTATGCAAGTATTATTCAAACTATGGAGAATGATTTATACTTTGATATGATATGAGTGTGTCATTGATAGAGGAAATCAAAGATAGTACTCTTTTGTTGTAACCAAGTGTTAACTTGGAAAGCTGTAAGCCCGTAGGGCATTTGCTTTTGTTGTTAACATGTAATACTTTTTGTAATGAAACTCTGAGAAATGAAAGAATGTGGAACTTATGAATATCAATGCCTGTCTTATTTGTTGGGTTTAATGTTATTATTTTGAGGGCGTTACATATCTGTACTATATATATATATGTATATCTATACTATATATATAACCCAATGTAGTTGTTTAGTTAAAAGCCTCCAAATATTTATTCCTAAATTCTCATAATTTTGAAACTCTCTCTTTCCTACGTGTCAACCTTCTTTGACTGCCGTTCATGTTTTCTATTTTTCTTCATTTTCTATTTGTTTGATTAATTATAATTAAAATTAATTTCATTGCTTATAGATAAAGATTTGAATTTCAAAATTCTCCATATAGATAAACATATAAAAACTAAAAAATAATTTTGTAGTCTACAGATAAAGATAAAAATTAAAAAATTATTTAAAAAAATAATTTCATGACTTATAGATAAATAAACATATAAAAATTGATAAATAATTTATAAAGATTAATTTTGTGGCCTACAAATAAAGATAAAGATTAAATAATTGATTTATAAAAAAAGTAAAATAATAAAATTTAGATAAAGATATAATTTGTTAATCTATATATCTATCAAAAACTTATATATCTAAATCTTTATTTTCATTTGCTCATATTTTTTTTTCTCCTATCACATATTATCTTCTTTTATTTTAATTTTTTTATCTTATGAAATGCCCTTATCTATAACTTCTTATCTCCTATTAAATTCTTAATCTTCTTTTGATAATTTTTATTATTCGTTATTATCTACCAAGTGATGAAGATTGAAAAAAAAAAAATTTATTAGGTCTGAATGAGAAAAGTATTAATAATGAAATTGGTTCGCTCTGAATGAAAATAGTATTAATAATAAAATAATAAAGGCTACATGGAAGAAGACAGTACAAAAATCTCACAAAATTAATTTTCTTCACTATTTTTATAAAATGTAATAATTTGATATTCTTTCTATTAGTTATTAAAAATAATTTGTAATAGATCATTGTTTTTTTAAAAAACAATTATTTTAAAAAATAATTTCATGACTTATAGATAAATAAACATATAAAAATTGATAAATAATTTATAAAAATTAATTTTGTGGCCTACAAATATAGATAAAGATTAAATAATTGATTTACAAAAAAAGTAAAATAATAAAATTTAGATAAAGATATGATTTGTTAATGTATATATCTATCAAAAACATATATATCTAAATCTTTATTTTCATTTGCTCATATTTTTTTTCTCCTATCACATATTATCTTTTTTTATTTTAAATTTTTTATCTTATGAAATGTCCTTATCTATAACTTCTTATCTCCTATTAAATTCTTAACCTTCTTTTGATAATTTTTATTATTCGTTATTATCTACCAAGTGATAAAGATTAAAAAATAAATAAATTTTGGCTCTGAATGAGAAAAGTATTAATAATGAAATTGGTTCGTTCTAAATGAGAAGAGTATTAATAATGAAATAATAAAGGCTACATAGGAGAAGGCAGCACAAAAATCTCACAAAATTAATTTTCTTCACTATATTTATAAAGGGTAATAATTTGATATTCTTTCTATTAGTTATTAAAAATAATTTGTAGTAGATCATTGTTTTTTTTTTCTTTTTTTTTTCTTTTTATAAGGCTGTCATTCGTTATAGTATTTCTCCAATCCCATCTTTAAATTCTCTCTTTGAAATTTTTATTTTTTCAATAATTAAGTTTAGAATCAATTTCTTATCAAATTTGTTTTCTTGGTCCTTATTTTATTGAAGGATCGAAACGAATAAAAATTTCATATAATATATGAAATTAATGAATATAATACAAAGATGATAAGGAAGTATTACATGTTTGTTAATATCTCTATGTTATTATTAGTTGATTTGCTATATTATATTATCAATTTAGAGCCCATATGATTTAATTCAATGTCCATGACTTTATTTGTATTCGACCATTTTTTTCCACAAATATATATATATATATATATTTTGGGTATATAATGATTAAAGCTATCATTTGTTATATTTCTTTAAGTACAATTCAAATAATTTTTCATCAGTTTTTTTATAAATAAAATAGATTAAAACTATTCTCTTATATAATTTTTATAATACTATGAAATTCTTATTTTGATTAATTTTTTTAAAATGACGTAGGATCTATGCAAGTATTCTTCAAACTATGATTTGATATGCGTGTGTCATTAATAGCGGAAATCAAAGATAGAGAATTGCTAATATAATCAATTAATGATTTGTTTGAGAAGTTCTTTTTATAAGCAAGGCAACAAACTTAGATTAAAAATTTTTAAAAACTACTTATAAATTATAATTAAAAGTTGATATTTATTTATAATTTGATCCCACAATAATAATATACACCACTGATTTAAAAGTCCAAGTAAAATTATGATAACTTTTCTGAGCTTATAGAATTTCTCTCTTTTAATGTTTTATTTAGTTTGATACAAGTTATTTATGTTATTAAGTGATTATGATACTATTATTCTCAACAATTTTTATAATTAATAATTTCTTATGCATATCAAATTTTATTGTGAAATTTTGTGGGTTAATTATTGTTAACATCTACCCAGATGGCTTAATATCATGGTTTGTCGCTATTAAGATATAATTTAAGATTAAGATGATTTATTTGTCACACAAAATATATATAGTCTATATTTCCGTGCATCGCACGGATTACCACTAGTATATAAATAAAGAAATGTACTATATTTTATATAAAATTCTGTGTTAATTTATTATTTTGTTTGATTTTTAAATTTTTTTTGACCTTTTATTTTTCATATTTTTTTACTTTAACATATATTTTTTATTTTTAAAAAAAATCTTTTAGATATATCTAATTTAGATAGATTTAAAAATAAATTATTTTTTCTTGAGTGAACTTTTTTCAAAATTTCTTTGCAAATTTCTGCACATTCTTTACTTTTTAAATGCATCTACAGAATGAAGAGTTAAAAAAAAAAAAGACAACTAGAACATGAAAAAAATTATTAAACACAAAGAAAATGAAGAACAAAAAGTTAAAAAATAACTTTTGATAACTATACTAAAGAAAGTATTTTTTAACAATTGGTCATTTTAAAATGATATCAAACATGTTAACATCTAATTAAATATATTTCTTTATTTTTCTTTACCATTAATCTTATTTTTCAATTACAATCTAGTGTTCAAATAAAAAAAATAAAAATAAATAAAACAATCTAGCTTGTCCCAAAATCTGATTCTTTTAACATTATATTGTCTCTAAAACTTAATTATCTAGTGAGGACAAAAAATTGGATGCTTCTCATCCCATTAGCTAAGAAACATTTTGTTAAGTTGGATTTAAATCATGAATTTAGATAAAAATGTAAATAAATAAAAAAAAATTAAATGATATTTAATTTATATTTTATTCACATTTCGCTAATATTTTCTCTTTTAATTTTTAAATCCATACGCAAATTCATGATCCAACATACCGCTAACGTTAAAAATTAACATATTTGGAGAGTAAGACTTTTAAACAACCTGTTCATTGTTCAACACTACACTGTACAATTTTTAATTAGCCTGACTTGCCATTGCCAGTATGCCCCTCTCAAAAAACAAAACAAAACAAAACAATGATCAAATTTGTCTATAACAATGGCAGCTACTTCTGTGCATATGAAAATGAAGCTATCCAAAACTGAAACATCATAATATCAGAAAGATCCAATGAGTTCTCTCATCTGTTCCAAAAAGTGTCCAAGCAATGATTATAAGATGAAAACAGAGAAAACACTTCCAAGTTTTAGCTCCACCTTTAGACTTGGCAAAAACCTGTCTATGATTCACCCTATCTAAGCGCCTGCATGATCATTTTACCCTAATCACAAACTTCAAAACATTACCATAAGAGCGATAAAATATGCCCTAATCAAAAGGTATGATCCACTATCAATTCCCAGCATAATAGAAGGAAAGAACCAAACTTAAAACATGCAAAATGCTATATATATAACTTCAAAAAGCCAAGTCAAAGATGACACCACCACCACCACCACCACAAAACCAAAAACAACAAAAACAAAAACAGTTGATAACCTACTACCATGAAAAGCAAAACATACAAGAGATACAACCATTGTAATATTTTATTCAGTAATTTGCCCATAAAATAGTAACTCAAGGATGCACACTCTCTTCTTCATCAACAACTCTCTCATGAAGCAGCAGGCTGTTTGAAAGGATTCTTTGGTGAAACGCCATCTTCACAGCATCATCGCATTTGTTTACCCCTCCCACTAAGAGCCCTTTCCATTTCGATGCATGGACAACCAGATTTACTGCCACCATTTTTTCTCAGATAAAGATACGAGCTGTGCAATAGAACATAGAGGAAGAAAATTAAAAGAAAGCCACAAAAGAAAGTACCAAAAATAAAAGTTTCCTTATCATGAACTTGAAGGGCATAAACCCATCAAAATGAAAATAAAAGCTACTCGCATAAACGGTTACCCATTCCATAAAGGGTTTGACATTACCTTAGCATTATCAAGTAAGGTGAGGTTAGCCCAGAGAAACCTCAGTAGATATCTTTCATTCAAGTGCTAGAAAGTTGTTATACACGTACAGATATCGACTATCCCCACCTATTCTATTCTATGCATTACATGATTTGAAAGAAGGACCGACACTGCTTTCAAATCCATTACAAGTCATAGGTAATGACACATCAAAGGCTAGGACATTCCGAGAAGGATATCAGGGCAAAGAATTAGCTAAAAGGACATTAATTTGTCTTCTAAGATTTCATTAATAAATTTATATAACTAAACAGAATTTGTCAACAACTGACACTGCTTTCAAATGCATTACAAGTCATAGGTAATGACACATCAAAGCCTAGGACATCCCGAAAACAAGCGAGAGAGAGAAAGATAGTTATTTGGATGAAGAATTAGCTAAATGGACATTAATAAATTTAAATAACTTAACATAAATTGTCAACTAGGATATCAAATTTTTACCTTTTTAACACAACTAAGATTGCTAACAAGCATTTCTTTTTTCTGATAAGTTGGCTAATGAGCATTACTCTAAAGAACACATACTTACATATGGGATTGTGCCTCGTATCTTTAGGTTGTGTTTGGATCATGTATTTGGGTAGGGATTTGCAAAAGGAATGGGAAAAGGTGAGTGAAATGTATAGTAATAGTGAGAGTTACAGGTTCTCATGTCTAGATTCTAAGAAGCACAAATAGAAATAACTAAATAAATGATATGAATATAACACAACATGGAATAACTTCACATAAAGAATGAATAATTAGTAATTATCTAAGTTCTAGAAATATGAATACGAACAAGTTATATAAAAACAATGCAATATGGAAAAGCGAACACAGCAATTTTCAGAAAAATACAAACACAAGCACTGCCAAACATTGCAACAAATGAATATTTATTTGTATACACACATGAAATTGTTAAAGAATTATCCATTCTCAACAATTATATATAGTAGAAGATGCAGGACCATAAAGCCCTAATTTTCATTTTGAAAAGCACAAAGCATCGGCAAACAAATTTGGACCATCTTAGTGGGGAAACTCTTCAATTAGACCATCTTGCAACCAGAAATTTTGATTTTCTGAAATTAGAACCACGTCAAGAGCAACTGCCTTAAACAAGGTTAACCCAGTTATGGGCTTTAGCACATATGCATTAAGGGAACTTACTAATAAGTCTTATCAAAGTTCAAAACTCATCTAATCCTAAAACAAAATATTTGCATCAATTAGTCTCATATATTTTTAATTATTGCCAAAAACCCAAAAAAAAAATAAAAAATAAAAAATAAAAAATTTACAGACCATGGATATGGTGACTAAAATGGATTGTTCATGATTCATAGGAAGGGTACGTAATAGTAACCTATCCCAGAGTAGGTGACATAAAGTCATACTGAAACTTGATAACAAATTCATCTAGTTATTCAGCAAATGGACAAATTCAGCAGTGCTAGGTGCACAGATATTGTGATTTTATCTGTGGACCTGACTTATTCTTATTCACATATGTAGACAAACAGGCAAGCAAGTAAAGACATATATATCACTAACCTGACGAGCAACCTGTGCTACACGTCGACTGTCTCGAGTTGAATCAGTTATGGAACTAGACTTCTCCGTCTCCAGCAGACCATCTTGGTTCTCTTCTTCCTTTTTCCTCATAATGCTGTTTTCAAGAGAGGCATTCACGTCAGAGCTGCTCAAAGATACTTTTTTTCGTTTCCTTTGGAATGTGTACTTGATAACCCTATCCCTACGAGTTACAGGTTGGTTCAGAATCCCATTACTCGAGCCAGATGGTTTTGTCTCCAAGTTCACTGGCATATCAACTTCCTCGACATCCATTCCACAACTTGGAACCCCTGCAGATCCACTTTGCAACGCCTTGTCATCGTTTGTAGTGTTTTCAACACTAACACCTTTAACAAACTCCGTATCACTTTCGGTAGCTTCCGTACCTCCCAATGGTGTGCCCTTGTCTGTTGTATCTGCCGAAAATCTTTGGGCCATGCTAGAAGGGTCTCCACCAGATTGAGCATCATTATTGACAGAATTCACCACTGTACAAGATATATCAGAAGTTTGATCCTTTTTCGGGGCTAGATTAGAGAGACGCTTAGTTGAGGCGGTTTTGGTTTTCTTATATCTAGCAACTCTTCTCCTTTTCTGTCGAAAAGACTTTATTTTCTCCTCTGTTTTACATATGGCTTCTTCACCTTCTCTGCCACCTGTTTCATGATTTACATCATCTATTTTGTCAGAAAAGGCCAATTCTCCAGCCATCAGTTTCTCTTCGAATGCACGAATTCTCTGAGTGCGTCGATTTCTATATGGCTCACTTTCCTTGCTTCTCAGTATTATAGAGGGAAGATCAGGTTTACTAACATAGGAATTCCCCATACGGAAATCATTTCTTTGATTGAGAACTGAATTCTTCATGTCAGAAGGTGCGAAAGATTCAAGTCGTGATTCTGGAGGAGGGAACATAACAGACTGAGAAGAAGTATTTAGTCGGTTCTCCTCTGAGGAAGAGGGAAGAAGATCGGGTTTACCAACATAACAATTCCCGATACAATTCTCATTTACATTGTAGAACTTATAGACCTCATTTCTTTGATTGAAAGCTAAATTCTTCATGTCAGAAGCTGCGAAGGATTCAAGTGACTGAGAAGTACTTAGTTTGATCTCATGTAATGTTGGTTCCCGATTAATAGTATCATATTCATCAAAATGATGTAACTTGTTCTTTCTCACCCTCTCCAGTTCAGCCTGCACTTCTCTCAACTCTTCTCTGAGGTCTTTTACTATATCCTCAGCTTCTTGAAGTTGTGCTTCAAGTTCTTCAATTTTTTTCTGTTGACTCACTGATGTTGTCTTTGCTTCACTCATCTATAAATTTTGAACAGTATGTCAAGTGCCATAGTTGTTATTTGTTAAGCAAAAGTTATAACGAAGGAAGTAAATCAAGAAGCAAACTAAAATAGGTTTAAAGAATGTAAAAATCTTTTTAAATTTTACTGACTTATTTGCTCCATGTAAAATAGGTAAAGTGCTTCAAATTATATGATGAAGTCTTAAAAGTTTCATAGAAGAGAATGATACAAGAAATGACCAAAGTGGACCAATAACATGCAGTGAGATGTGAATTTAAAAAAGAAACTATAAAAAAGAAAAGGGAAAAGAAACAAACATTGCCAAATTCTATAGTAGTAGTAGTGTGTGCCAAGTACTTCATCAATTCATGGCACTTCTATGCATGATCATATGTATCTTTCAAGACAAACATATTACTTTGGGCACCATTTTTTCTAAGCTACAACTCGAGGGTGCAAGTTGAGGCACAGTTATCTTTGCATTAGCATAGTGAATCAAATTCTAAGCAATGCTTTCTTGATTGAAACAATATATTTCTAGAAGAATATATGCTATTACTTTTGCTCTGTTTGTTTTTGGCAGAAAACATTTTTTCAGAAAATATGTTCCGTAGAAAACGATTTCCTATGTTTGGTTGCAATCTTGAAAGTAATATGCCAATGGATGTGGTAGTGGTAGTGGTAGTGGTGGTTGCAGGGTGTGGATGGTGATAGGATAGTGGTGGCGGCTGCTGCGGTGGTGATGTGACTGGTGGGTTGGTGGTGTTCCAAAGGCTGTTTCTTTGTTTTGAAATACAATTTTTATTTAAGCTGTAAAATTAATTATGGAATGAGAGGTTCCATAAAATTAATTATCTGCATTAAGCAGCTACACATTAATTATTTCCACACTATGCATATCTGAATTGAATTTTAAAGACTAGGTGATTCCAGATGATTCAAGATAAGCGTTTGGCCTAAATCGAAATCAAACAGTGGTGGCGGCGGTGGTGGTAGTGTGGTGGCATTGGTAAGATTTTAGTCCGGTAAAACATTTTCCACTTTTTAAATGTGGAAAACGTTTTCCACCCAAATAGGTTATGTTTTCTGTTGACCACAAAATGTTTTCCATTTGCTTTTATTTTTTGTCATTCCAAACGTCAAAATATGTTTTCAAACGGAGCATTTGTCAACCAATTTTTTTCTTCTTCATATGAAGATTGTTATTCCATGTTGAAGCCACAAAGGGGCTTAAGGAGATTTAGTGAATAAGACTTCAAAGATAATTGCATCATTTTGGCAGGAAATGGAGATAACTAGGTTTCTTACTGAATCCTCAGCTTCCTGAAGTTGTGCTTTGAGCTCTTCAATCTTTTCCTGCTTCCTGCTTACTGAAGTAGGTCACCCCTGCTTCACTAGCCTGTAAATTTCACCCGGTATGTCAGTATCATGGCTATTAAACAGAAGTTCAAACAAAGAAAGTAGAACAACTCAGAGAAAAATAGGTTTCAAGAATGTGATATAAACTTTGGCTCCATTCTCATATCTCAGTTGCTTTATGTTGGTCAGTCACCCATGGGGTAGGGTTAACCGAAACATTTGTTTACTTTGCCTACACTTACCAATTCACATGCTTTAGTCTTGTCAAGCCAAAAAAGCCATCATTTGCTTGCATGGGTTTTTTGTCGTTTAGCATTAGCCATGTAATGAATTTTGTGGGGATATAAGTGAGAGGCTCTAAGAAGAGAAGAGCGAATGAGGTGAGTGTGTGTTGGGAAAGTGTTGAGTGTGCCAAAAATTTCAATTGATGGCAGTCATGCACGATCTATATAGTTTTAAATAACGGTATCGGAGATATGGTCAAATATTGGTCCATATCGGCTGATATATCGATAAATAATGGTTTCGGAGGTCCAAAATACCAATATGTATCAGTCGATACAATATGTAACGGCTAGTATTTAGAACCATTAGTATCTTCCATGATAGGCATAGAAGAATGGGGAAATTTGTTATATAACATATTCTTAAATGCAACAATATATTTGAAAAAGGTGTGCTATTTCTTTGTTCAACCAAATCTTTAAAAGACTGTCAATCTAGATGTGGACCAAAGAAGGGGCTTAAGGAACTCTCGTCAATAATCAAGGATAATTGTCAACCTATTAAAACTATGGAGACAACTAAGTAAATTATAATTACTTTTGCTTCTATCAAGTCAATAGAACAATTCAGCAATACTTGCACTAAGGCCTAAAAAATTGGCGAACTCTTTATCTTCTTCTTCTTAAGACCATTTGTTCAAAAGTTAACCAATTGACGGTCCCCATCTCCTTCTCCAACGATATTAAAGTACCACCAATCCCAAGAGTGTGAGAGTGCCTTTTTCAAGAATATCCTCATAGCGGGAGGACCTTTAGAGTGTCTATGTACATATAAATATATATGTTATATATTGGTGTTTTATAATTTTTTTGCATTAATTTTTAATAAATTTGATGAATTATCAATATTGAAATACAATTTGTATAAGTTATTGTTAGAATAAATAAATAAAAATAGCACAAAGCTTGTATTGTACTGATACATCACCCTAGCGGTCAGCTTCTTTTCTTTCTTTTAACGTCACACGTTCAAATCTTGGCAGCATTGAAGTTTTCCATTCCCTCCAAGCATGGGTGAGTGTTATGGCATGAATTACTTGCTGTGAGCCTTACACGTGGCGGTTAGTGACTGGTCATAAGAGAATCTGTTCGTAAGTCCATGAATTTGATCATAAGAGTCGGCGAATTTGACCCACTTTACATCATAATCCACCAATCCGCAAATTAGAGCATGATTTGGTAGGCCACCTAGGCATTTTAGGTGACTTAGGTCTGCGCTAATCCTAAGGCATCTTGAGGATTTGTTTGGTTGGATCAAGGATTTAAGAAGGAATATGTGGAGAGAAAGGAAAAAGTGAATAAAAAAGAAGCTAATTTTTTTCACTTCTCCCTTCCCATTTCTTTGCCCTTTTCCTTTTCGTTTCCCTCTACAGTGCCCCCTTCAAATCCTTGATTCAGAAACAACATAAGTCTGTGCTTTAGATCAAGGATTTGAGAAAGGATTTGTGGAGGAGAAAGGATTTGCAGAGGTAAAAGAAACATTTCTAGAACTTTGTTCACTTTCCCTTTTGATTTGTGAACAAAGTTCAAGAAAAAATTTTTTCCTCCACAAATCCATCCTCAATTCCTTGATCCAAACATAACTTAAAGTATTTTATAACCTTGAACCCTGTTTTCCACTTTCACAACCCAAATGACATCTATTGAGACTTTATTATGCATATATCATGATAGTTTAGCTTATAAACTAGAGAGATTTTACAAAAAGGGAAAAGGAATCCTTGATGTTACTTATCAACTTTAGATAACACCTAAAACTTTGAAGATTGAAGCCTTATAAATTTCTTCCAAATAAAAGTACATTTTCCTGATATTGTTTGTATCCATTTCAAAAGTTTTATATTGCTTTTATTTTTGTACCCCGAACCAAGACAAGTATTTTTTTCCACCCAAATACTGGCAGAAATAGATCAGCTCAAAGTCTATAAGAGTAGAGTAACTAAAACATTATGCACGTGAATTAGCATGACTCTAGATAACCATAACTATAGTAAATATGGCAAGCACAAACTCCAAACAAGTCTGAGGCTTCTAGAGCCCTACTAAGACTAGTATAGTAAGAGAAGCGGTTGCTCTTCCTCTCTAGGTTTCAGTAGAAATGGATGAATTTCTATTTCTAGGTTTTCCACATTATGTAAGTGGAAATTCTATACGTATTTGACAGTGAATCCAAGTATAAAATACAACTAATTTCTTTTTGTCTACTTGTCTTTGTTGTTATTTATCGTTACATTTTGGTTATAAAGTTTTTTTCGTTGCCTGTATTATTTCTTTGAAATGTGTTCTTTTGAGGATCCATCAAGAAAATATTTCTTTCCTCATGTGTGAGCATGCGCTGTGCATGAGTGTTTGAGAGAGAGAGAGATTCCATGAATAAATGCTTAGAGGAAAAAGTGTGCATATGAATTTAATGAATGTTTGTCATTAAACGTCCAAATTAATGATAATTTCTTGTTAGATCCTGAAAAGGTCACACCCAAAGGGATAAGACAAAAAATGAAAAAATAATACGAGCAAAACATGTTACAACGACTAGAACATAAGGATAAGTGACAGTCGAGACAACCCAACAAAAAGAAAGCAATCATATTTTAAACCTGGATCCTCTGTCATATTACGTACAAAATATCCACTTAACGAGGAAAACGTATAAAACAGAAAGCCACTATAAGCTCTGATAACATTCTTGACATCGACGAACTTGAAGACCCCCAAAAAAAGAAGAAACCAAAGAAATTCAATTAACTCGTTAAAAAATTTGTGGTAACATTTGCCCCCCAAAAAAAAAACAAACAAAAACACCAACAACAAAGAATTTCTTAAATTCATCACCTTTTCAAAATAAAATTTGACATGATTTTTTAAGTAAAAAAGCAATCACACACACCAAATTGGACATATAAGAAACAGAATTCTGATTCATTGTGATTCTAAATTGATTAATAGGGAGCAAAAGAAAAAAAGAACAAAAAGAAAAGAAAAGAGCACAAGTGCATTGTATATCGCCTCTTTTACAGGAAAAAAATAATAATAATAAAAAAACGGACATTCAACTTGTAGAAACAATGAACACTGTAAATAAATAAATAAAAATCCATCACCCTAACAATAAGCTTCTTTTTCTTTCATTCACCTTCACACGTCCAAATCTTGGCAGCTGCGATGGCATGAATTACTTGCGGTGAGCCTTACACGGAGTGTTTTAGCATGAATTACTTATGGTGAGCCTTACACGTGGCAGTTAGTGAATGGTCATAAGAGAACCTGTTTGTAAGCCTGTGAATCTGACCATAAGAGTTTGTGAATTTGACCGGTTTTGCATCATAATCCGCAAATCGGAGCATGATTCAGTAGGCCTCCTAGGCATTTTAGGTGACTTAGGTCTGCACTAATCCTGAGTTATCTATTTTAAGGTTGCGTTTGGATCAAGGATTTTTTAAGCAATTTGTTGAGGGAAAGGAAAAAGTGAATGAAACAGAAGCTAATTTTCTGAATCAAGGATTTGGGAAAGGATTTGTCTGAAGGGAAAGTTTTCTTAATTTGTTCACTCCCCCCCTTCCCTTTTCCTTTCCCTCTGCATATCCCTCCTCAAATTCTTGATCCAAACACAACATAAGTGTTTTATAACCATTTTCTTGAACCATGTCTTTACCCTCACACCCAAATGATATCTATTGAGACTTTATTATGCATGTATCAAAATAGTTTAGCTCATAAACTACAGAGATTTTACAAAAATGGAAAAAGCGTCCTTGATGTTACTTATCATCAAGTTTAGATAACACCTAAAACTTTGAAAACTGTCCCGATATAAAATTCTTCGACATAAAAGTACATTTTTCTGATATTGTTTGCATCCAATTCAGAAGTTTTATAGTGCTTTTATTTTTGTAACCCAAACCAAGAGAAGTACTTTTTTTTCACAAATACTATTATAAATATTAAATAGATAAGCTCAAAGCCTATAATAGTATAGTAACTCAAATATAATGGACATGAATTGGCATGACTCTAGATAACCAAAACTGTAGTAAATATAGGAAGCACAAATTCCGCCTTTTCTAGAGTAGTGTGCCCCACTAAGACTACTATAGTATGAGAAGCAGGTGCTCTTCCCTTACTAGGGTTCAGTAGAAAAGAATTACTTTCTATTTCTAAGTTTTCCTCATTATGTAAGTGAAAATCCTATACGTATCTGACAGCAAATCCAAGTTTAAAATACGGTTATTTTCTTTTTGTCTAGTTGTCTTGGCCGTTACTTATTGTTACATTTTGGCCATTATAACATGTGTATATATATATTTTTGTTCTGTATTATTTCTTTGAAATGTGTCCTTTTTGGGGTCCATTGCGAAAATATATCCTCCCTAACGTGTGAGCACGCGCTGCGCATGAGTGTTTGAGAGAGAAAGAACCATGAATAAATGCTTATAGAGAAAAGCATGCACATGAATTTAATGAATGTCTGTCACTAAACTTCCAAATGAATGATATTTTCTTGTTAGATCCTGAAAAGGATAGACAACCGGACAAAAAGAAAGTAACCATATTCTCTGTCAAATATGTATAGAATATCCAATCACGAACTACAAGAACCCCAAAAAAAACAGGAAATAAAAAAACTTCAATTAGCTTGTTAAAAAAATTGTAGTAACATTTGCCGCCAAAAAAAACAAGCAAACAAAAACAACACCAACACCAATAGCAACAACAACAAAGAATTTCTTAAATGCATCACCTTTTCAAAATAAAATTCGACATGAATTTTTAAGTAAAAAAGCAATCACACACACCAAAGTGGACATATAAGAACAGAATTGTGAATCATTGTGATTCTAACTTGTTAAAAATATGTACTACAAAAAAAAAAAAAAGAGAAAAGGGCACGAGTGCATTGTCTCTCAACTCTTTTACAGAAAAAAGCACAGGAATTCAACTTGTAAAAAACAATGAACATGGTCCCCAAAAAAAACACATAAATGATGAATAGATTAGGGAACTCTTAAAAGGTTTGCACAAAATCCACACTCTGAAACCTCCCAACCAAATCAATTCAAGATCAAAGCAAGCTTTTTATTATCACCAAACAGCACTTCAAAGCAGACCTAGATTACCAAAAAAAAAAAAACCACATTAAAACACAAAAAACAAAACATATACACTCACTAATCACATTAATCAACCCAATTCAAAAAAATCAAAAACCCATTTGAGACAAGACAGTTTCACCTTAGAATCCACCATTAGTTTGAGACGAAGTAGCACCTGAAGCGCCTGCTCTTTGGTGACATTGAGCTCGTGCTGAAACCTAAGAGCTTTTCGCTCCGAAACCAAAATCCGAGCCGCCGATTCCTTCGCTGTATTCAGTATTATATCTGCATATGCCTTCTTCAAATCAGTCAATCTCTGCACAACCCAAAAAAACAAATTTCAAAAAAATTAAAATTTTGAAAATCAAAATCAAACCCACTTAAAATCACATCAAAAAAAACCAAATTTAATCCTAGAAAAAACCCCAAAAACAAAAATTTAGAATAAAAGATCAAAATCGATGACCGTTAAAGGGGGAGAATCAGTTAGGACCAAAAATCAAATAAAAAACCCAACCAAACACTCTAAAAAAACCCAGAATAAAGCGAGGACAGATAGATTAGAAGATCAAAATCGATCCCCAGTTCAAAAAAAATGCCCCAAAAAATGACGGTTAAAAGGGGGAGAAACAGTTGGGTAGTTGATGACGGTGGTTGGCGGCGGAGGAGGAGTGGTGGTCGGAGATTGTTACCTCGTCAGAGTCCATTGTTGGGCCTTCTTCCTTAATGCATCGAACTGGGTTTCTGGGTTTAGGACCGAAGTGAAGGTAGAAAGAGAAAGTGAGGAGAGATAGAAAGAGACAGGGGTTGGGCGAGAAGAGGAAGGTTGTTTCGTTGTCGCAGCTGTCTGTTATGAACTGAAAGTTCTGTTACTGTTATTACGATTTTGTCCTTTGGAAAATGTAGTAATGACGAAGTGTGACACCACCACCGGTTCGGTTTTTTCATATGGGTTTCGAGAGCGGTCCCACCGGTCTGGTTTTTGGGAGGTGACGTGGATATGTGGTGTAATTACACGTGGAAATGACTCGGGGTTGGAAATGGAAAACAAAACTGCTAGACATAATAAAAATTTTACTAAATGTTTTGCATGGGTGCGAGACTCACATTATATAAATTTTATATCCATATGAGATATTTGATAAATTTTTTAAGATTTATTGCATTACTCAATGGAAAGATTGCACTCGACTATATATTTTCAAAAACAAATATATATTGTACATCAGTGATAAATTTTAGTAATTAATTATAAATATTTTATAAATGTATCATTGATTTGTAATTTTTTTTTTAAAAAAAAACTAAAGAAATATAACATTTAAGTGTGAAGTTCCAAAAATAATTTCAAATTGATGGTAATTCATGAAAGGAAAATATTTAAAACAATTTTTAGTACCATTATTAGTATTGAAAAAATGAAATATTTAAGAATCGAATGGATAAGGAAGGTACTTGGGACTTAGAAGGTGATGCTAACACTATGTGAAATTCGATGGCCAATTGTATGAGGAGAATCTCAAGAGAAGTGCTTGGAGAGTCGAAAAGAACGGGACCCAGCTCTAAGGAAACTTGGTGGTGGAGGGAAGAGGTCCGAGCGGTAGTTAAGGTAAAAAAATAGTGCTTTAAAAAGTGGCAGAAGAATAGAACTGAGGAAAACCTTAAGAGCTATAGATTGGCTAATAAGGAGGTCAAGAAAGTAGTGAGAGAGACTAAGTTGAAAGTTTATGATGACCTATACACTAGACTAGATAGTAAAGAGGAAAAAAATAGGGTATACAAACTTGCTAAGATATGGGAGAGGAAAATAAGAGATTTTAATCAAATAAAGTGCATCAAGAGTGAGGATTCTAAGGTATTGGTGAAGGATGATGAGATTCAGGAAAGATTGAAGAATTATTTTGAGAAACTGTTAAATGAGGAATATGGAAGTACGACCATAGGGGAAGAAACAATCAGTAATACGATAAACCAAGACTATAGGTTCTATCGCAGGATTAGGAACTTTGAAGTGGAGATTGCACTTCAGAAGATGAAATCAAATAAGGCTTTATGACCTGATGATATCCCTATTGAAGCTTGGAAGTGTTTGGGTAAAAAGGGAGTTGCTTGGTTGACTAGGTTGTTTAGCAAAATTTTGTTGACTAGGAACATGTCAGATGAGTGGAGGAAGAGCATTTTAGTGCCAATCTATAAGAATAAAGGTGATGTCCAGAATTGTAACAACTATAGAGGAATTAAGCTAATGTGTCATATAATGAAAGTGCGGGAGAGGGTGATGGAACGCCGATTGCGAGACATAATAGAGGTGTCAAAGAATCAATTTGGGTTTATGCCTGGTAGGTCAACAATGGAAGCGATCTATCTTTTGAGGAGAGTAATAGAAAAGTATAAAGAAAAGAAAAGAGACATTCATATGGTGTTTATCGATCTTGAGAAAGCATATGACAGAGTGCCCCGAGATATAATATGGTGGGCGTTAGAGAAGAAAGGGGTGACAAAAGGCTACATTGACGTGATTAGGGACATGTATGAAGGGGTGGTGACCACTATTAGATCGCCAGCTGTAGAAACAAATGAATTTCCTATCACTGTAGGGTTACACCAAGGATCTACCTTAAGTCATTATCTTTTTGCTTTAGTTATGGACGAGTTGACGATAAATATTCAGGATGACGTGCCATGGTGTATGCTTTTTGTAGACGATATTGTGTTAGTGGATGAGACTAGAGGAGAAGTTAACACAAAGTTGAAGATTTGGAGAAAAACTATTGTATCTAAAGAATTTCGGATAAGCAGAACTAAGACAGAGTACATGGAGTGTAAATTTAGTAACAGTAACAATGAAAGCAGAGGAGAAGTGAAGATTGAGAACCAAGAACTGCCTAAGAGTGAACATTTTCGTTATTTAGGGTCGATTATCATAACAGCGGGAGAGATTGATGCAGATGTGACCCATAGGATTAAGGTGGGATGGTGTAAGTGGAGAAGTGCGTCTGGGGTATTGTGCGATAAACGAATACCTACTAGACTAAAAGGTAAGTTTTATAGAACGGCTATTAGACCAGGTATGTTGTATGGGACAGAGTGTTGGGCAACCAAGAAACAACATGTAGATAAGATGAGTGTAGCTGAGATGAGGATGCTAAGGTGGATGTGTGGTAAGACTAGACAGGACAAGATTAAGAATGAGTGTATTCAAGAATGTGTAGGAGTAGCACCGATAGAAGATAAGTTGAGAGAGAATAGTTTGAGATGGTTTGGTCATATTCAACGAAGACCAACAGAGGCAGTAGTGAAGAGATGCGATACTATAACGGTAGATGGAAGTGTTAGAGGACGGGGTAGGCTTAGATTAACGTTGACTAGCGTTATAAATAGAGATATAAATCTACTTAATTTGACTAATGAAATGGGCTTTGATAGGGCCGCGTGGAGAAGAAAGATTCATGTAGCCGACCCCATTTGATGGGATCTAAGGCTTGGTTTGGTATGGTTTGGTTATTAGTATTGAAAAGTATGTATATAATATAGAAAAGTGTTTTAGAATATGTCAAAAATATGTTGAAATAATAAATGTTTTTGACATTTTATGTTTGTCAATAATAGAACCTTTTATGAAATTTTCTTTTAACGTTAATAGTATAGAACCCTCGCTTTATTAATGTTATTGTTCAATTATAGTCACTCAACTCAACAAATGTGGATATAAGAACTCACGTAATCGGAACTCACAATTTCAATATTAAAAAAAAAAAAGTTTTGAACACACTTTCATTTAATTAATCAATCATAATTAATCGGAATGATTAACAAAGTATGGAGAATGTCAAATGAAGTTATTCATTACAATATTGATGATAAATACCATATAAATAAATATCATGTAATATTCTAAAACTATCATAAAAGGGTTGGGTGGGGTGCAATGTTAATGTAGTGACAGGTATAATAATAATTTGAGTATTAAAAATTTTACCAAATATTTCATATAAGTGTGAGACCCACACAATGTGAGTCCTATGTAGACATTTAGTAAAACTTTTAGTAAAATTTTTAAAACCTCTAACATTTTTGTAATAATTTATGTGAGTGTGTTAGATAGGCATTTTCTTTGAATTTTGAGAATCTTCTTAATAACATTTAAAGTCTTTGCGTTGGCACAATTTTAAATGTAGATTACAGTGGATCAACACTCCAAATTATATGATTTGGATTACCACATTTTCTTTTCCTAGCTATTGAATTATGTACTAAAATCAAGGTTTCTTCCTTTTTTAGAAAAAAAAAATATTTATAAAAAAAATATGTATTTTTAAACTTATTTGTGAAAATCAAATTAATTGCGTTTTAAAAGCACAATTTTAAACTTCAAATTATATTATGAAAATATGATTCCTATGAGTTTTATAATTAATTAATAAAGTTGAGATTACACTTTTAAAAATCATGTAAAATTATTTTAAATATTTTAACAAATTCCTTTAAAATACTTATTAACAAAATCATTTGATAATAAGAGATATCACTTGCAAAATAATAATAAAATTGAATCACTTTTGAGTAATTTGTCTTGGTGTTGTTTTGAAAGGCCAAATAATTAAGGAGATAGATTTTAACCCAAATGCAAGATGTGAAATGTATTTGGCAAAATAACATTAATAAGGTTATTGCAATCTCATCCCATATTCTAATTTTGGTCTTCGGCAATAAATTCTAGCCAACTTTTTATTTATAACTAGGACTGCAAACGAGCCGAGCCGAGCCGAGCCGAGTCGAGCTTTCAGATGTTTAGGCTCGGCTCGGTCAAAATGGGAGATGCTCGAGCTCGGCTCGAGCTCGATTCGAGCTTCAAAAATTATGTTCGAGCTCGGCTCGTTGGATAGTTTAAAAGCTCGAGCTCGGCTCATTTAGGCTCGACAACGCAAACAAGCTCGAACGAGCTCGAGCTCGAGCTCGAACTCGAACAAGCTCAAAATTCCAATTCCCATCTATAACTAAAAAAATGAAATTTGTGCATCCAAAAAATAAAAAACTGAAATCTGTGCATCCGAAAAAAAATTATGTACAATTAGTACTAAAAAACTAAAATTTGTGCATCCAAAAAAAATTATGTATAATTAGTAATACAAAACTGAAATCTGTGCATCCAAAAAAAAATTATGTACAATTAGTAATACAAAACTGAAATCTATGCATCCAAAAAAAAAAAACTGTACAACTAGTAATAAAAAACTGAAATCTATGCATCCAAAAAAAAAAAATTTTGTGCATCAAACCAAAAAAAAAAAAATTATATACAACTAATAATTTAAAAAATCTGTGCATTACACAATGCATTAAACAGTGCATCCTTGAGCAAAACATAATTGCTAAAAATATAGTGCATCATTAAATAAAACACATTACACAAGACATTACACAATGCATCCTTAAACAAAACATAATAACCAAAAACTAAACCACTAATTTCTTGACTTGATTCACTTGAAAACACACCAAAAAGTCTTCATTCCTTTGGAAACTTCGCAGGAGCCTTCAACCTGTAATAGTAGAATTATTATATATGAATGAATCTTATGATAGTATTTAAAGAAATTTAGTTTATTAAAGATGAAACATACCCAAAGATGTCAAACTAAGGAAGCAAAATCTCTTTGAAAGATAACTCCATAGTCTATCAAAAGAAACAATAATATATTATTTCAGTATTATGTTTCACATCAATTGATAATAAAGAAATTTGTCACTGTATTTGTATGGATCAAAATTAATAATTAAAAAAAAATACTTACATCTGATCCATTTTTGAGTCCATGTAGTGCACGTACCCAATCAGATCCACCTAGTAAGATTTGGACAGTTTTCGTTGATAATGATGCTCGATAGGGATCAATAACTCTACCACTAGCACTAAATGTCGACTCCGACACCACTGTACTGATTGGAATTGACAATATATCAGCTGCTATCTTGGACAATATTCAATACTTGAGGTTGTTTACTTTCCACCACTCCAATGCATCAAAATGGGAATTTGAACCTTCATTGCATATGTAAACACTTTCTTCTAAATAAATGTCAAAGTCAGATTTTGCAGGCTGAATTGTGTCAGCTTTTCTAACAAAAGATTCAAATTTAGATCTTCCCGTCCCGAGTGCTTTTCCAAAACCATAAGTAGCATTACTAGAATCATTAGCTTCTTGAGTGCTTTGCTGCAAAGTTTGCTCATCGTTACTTGAAGTATGAATAACAACATATTCATTGTAAAGCTCATATAGGGCGTCACGCACCATGGAAATGTTTCTAGTAGCTTCTGCCTCTGGGTAGATCTCTAGAAAACAAAACTGAACAAGTATCAATTTGAATCTTGGATCCAACACTGCAGCTATAGCCATCAACAAATTACATTCACCCCAATACTTGTCAATTTTTTTTTTCATCTTCAAAGCCATTGCCTTAATGTAGTCATTGTCATCCACCGACCTCTCATTCAATGTTTCTTTTATCCTCCAAACCTCTGCAAGGAACAAATTAGAAGTAGGATATTCGCTCCCGGAGATGATATTTGTGACTTCATTGAAAATTGTCAAAAATTGACATACAGTCTCAACTTTCACCCAATCTTCAAGGCTAGGCACGTAAACAAAACTTGGATCCCTTTCATGATATCTAGGGAAGACATCTTTAAACTCCAAAGCAGCAGACAACATCATATAAGCTGCATTCCATCGGGTTGGACAATCTAAAATCAATTTTTTTGAAGGCAATTGCAATTGCTTAGCAATCTCACTAAATTGATTAAGACGTGCTTCTGATGCACTCAAGTACTTGACACCATCTCGAACACCATCAACAATATCTCCTATTTGGCCAAGCGTATCATGCACCATAATATTCACTATGTAACCTAGATGTGCCGCTCAGTCTCTTCTTTTTCTTGTTCTCTTTGCTTTCTTGATCTTATCCTATGAAGCCCTTAAACCACACAAACAAATCCTTTTCAACCATCCCACAAATCTAACATCTTTATTTTGAATTTTTGTTGAATTAAAAATTGAGTGAATCATGGGAGAGGTTGTAATTTTTCCCTAATTTATATGTTGAAAACAGGGAGCAAAAACCAAAAAAAAAAAAAAAAAAAAAAAACAGGGGACAAATATATACATGCAACATGAATAGAGAAAGGGTCAATGGTGAAGTGAAATGAGTGTACTATGTGTGCATATGAGCATGTAAGAGACACCATGGTTGAGAGAGAGAGAGAGAGAGAGAGAGAGAGAGAAGAAGATTAAATTACTACAATGGATTCAAGAGAGAAGAATAATCTCTCAGTGTCAGATCTTCACCAGAGCAACGAAGCTATACTGGTCCGTTGTCGTCGATGTTTGAGTGTTTAAGATGAGTTTGTGCGATTGATTCAAGTGTTGACAAGATCTAGATGTGTGTTTGAATGTCTGAGGTTACAAAGAGTAGCAAGGAAGAGTAAAGCAGCGTATGTATTTGATACACAAAGGAACCCTAGTTTTTTTTTTTACTTATATAGTAATGGCTCGCAAGCCTTAACGAGCCGAGCCTTTCAGCTCGAGCTCGGCTCGTTTAACAAACGAGCTTGGAAATGTAGCTCGAGCTCGTTTATTAGCTAATTGAACCGAGCTCGAACGAGCTGTTAACGAGCCGAGCCCGAGCTGTTCATGAACAGCTCGGTTCGTTTGCAACCCTATTTATAACTTTTGAAGGCCTTGCTTTTTATGATTTTATAGGAAAATGTATCTCTTTAAATGGCTTAACTCAATGCATTAATTGTGTTTACATTTTAGAAAGAATAATGCTATATGTATCAATTAATGTACTAATTAGTGTACTAATTGATGATGTGACATAATTTAAGAGATTTTTGTTATTTGTAATGTGATTAATGAGTGTGGTCAATAATAATGCCATAACTAGTGTTGGTACACTAATTAGTGTACTAATTGGTGCATGTAACACTACCGTTTTACAAAACGAGCATTGTGTTCACATTTGAGTAAATTACAGAGAACACAATTTGATTTACACAATTTTATACCCTAACACTCGGGCACATGTGACTAGGGTTGGCTTTGGGTTGATGCCAGTCCAGTCCAATTTGATAGTTTTCAAGTTTGGAATAAATATTAGGCCTATAGAATATTCAACTATTGAACCTTTTTAAATTTTTAGTGGAGTTTGGAATGATAAATTATAGTTTTGTTCTGCTTAGCCCAATTCATTAAAAAAATATAAATATTAATTTTTATATTATTTAAGTATATAATAAATTATTAAAAAATATATACGTGTGTGCACGCTCTTTTTTACATAACTTAAATTCAAACATTTCTCATAAAAAATTAAAAATAAAATCAAACATTTGTTGACAAGTCGAAACCCATTTTAGTGTTACATATTGTTAATAACTTCAACTCAAATAATTATTTAAAACACCTAATTTTCCTAATATCGTCCAAAAAAAAAGAAGTAAATAAATAAATATATGATATTGGGTTAAGTAGACGAACTTATATTTTTTGAAATTATTTTTTAAGATTAAGCATGACATGGCACATGTGCTTTTACCTATGTAGTGCAAGCCCAATATGAACTCGACCCATGCCGGTCCACTTCATACCCACCCAGCATGTCATGCGTGTTTGAAGAGTAGAAAACTTTTTAAAATAAACAATTAAAATGGATAACACACTATTTGTCTACAAAGTATGTGCTATTTTAATTGTGTCAACTTAGGGTTGTTTTGGAAAATTAGTTAAAAATTTGTTTTTTAGTTTTTTTATGAAAAAAATGTGTAAAAAAAATAAAGAGATAATATGATTCAAAATATGTTAAAAGTTGAAAGATGACTTTTAATTATTTTTTCAAAAAAAATCTTAGTGAAATTTTTTTTTCTTTTTATTATTATTTTAAGGGCTGTTTTCTATACTATATATTAAGTAAAAGGGGATTTTTAACCCTAAGGCCCGTGGGAGCTCCAATCTCCTAATCCTAATTTTTTAATTTTAAAAAAAAAAATCTCAGCATTTATTGACTTCTCCCAACCCAACCTCACCATTTATTGACTTCTCTCAACTCACAATCCCTTTTGACTTCTCTCATAATTATTACAACACCCTTTTCAATTTCTCCCATATACTATGGTTACACACAAAAATAAAAATAAAAAAAAGATAAAAATTTAGCTATAGATCTCAAAAAGATATAACATCTAAATTTGAATTATGATTTAATAATACAATTATGTATTTTTTTTATGTATATCTATCAAAATTTTAAATCACTTAATGGGACAAATTAATCAATTTTCAAAATTATTGATTTTTAATTTACAAAATAGATTAAAAAAAACTATTATGATTATTATTTATTTAATAACAAAAATATTTCATAATCTCTCCCTCCTAATCTCTCTCACAAATTTTTTAAAAAATAAATTAAAAACTTGCATTTATTTTCTCTTTCCCAAAAATCAGATAATATTTTCTATTAAAGTTGTAGATATCTACCTATATTTATATATTTATATTATAACATAACAAAAAAAAACTAAAAAACTAAAAAAAAATCTTTAAAGTTTATCTAAAATAACTTTAAATCAATAAAACTCACATGTCTATCACATACTAACTCACATCATAACTTATCTAAATAATAATAATTAAAAAAAATGAAAACCACAGATAAATTAAATTTTTTTAAAAAAAATACCCACAACTCCATCTTAAATAAATTGAAGAAAAAAATACCCAAGTAGAAACCACACAAAAATAAAAAAAAAAATAAAAAATATATCTATCTATCTATCTGTCTATATTTTATATACATATAAGCAAAATAGAGTTTTTTACACCCAAGACCTATGGGAGCTTCAATATCCCAATCTGAATTTTTAAAGAATTTTTTATTTAAAAAAAAAAACTCAGCATTTATTGATTTGATCAAAATCCCCTGATCAGCATTTATTAACTTTTTTCAATTCACATATCTTTCCACATACCTGCAATTATTGATTTGGTTAAAATCTCCTGATCAACATTTAAAATCTCCTCATACAAATAATTATAGATACAATTTGTATATAGTTACTGCAATACCCTTTTCAACTTTCCCCATACATTATGGTTAGTAATAAGAAAAAAATCTTAAAAAATATAATTTATATATTAAATTTTTTTTAAAACAAATATAAATATTTATAATTATCCCGTGCATAGCACAGGTGATAGGCTAATTCTATTGAATGTCAAAGACACCAAAGAGATCGTGATATTCTTGTTAAACTCTGGATAAGTTTTAAAAGTTGCCTTAAAACTAATTTGATAACTAGCAATGCCACAAGAATAAAAACAATCATTTACTTATTTAAGGCCATTCTACAGTAGTGATTGTGACTTTAACAGGTGAAGAATGAGGTGGATAAAAAGTTTGATAAATGATATTTTGATAGAAATGACGCCATTGGAGAAAGAAAAAAAAAAACAATTGTAATGAAAACCAATTTTAATTATATAAATAAGACAATTGAATAATTATTTCATACGAAATATATTACAATCCTGTTTCATTCCGTAGAACTTTGTAACTTAAAAAAACCCATGTGGACTTTACCATTATGCCTCTTCTATGCACTGAAGTTGAGATTTTTCACCAAATTTGCCTTAAAATGATTTTTTATATTAAAAAAAAGTATAAAAATTGCATAAATCCCACACAAAATTACAAGCAAAAATATCTAAGTGGTGGGGCGGACCCTGCCGTTAACCCGGCCCGTAGTTTCATCTATCCGAGCTGCAACCTTCAGTTATCCACTGCCCTCCCCAAAGCTCCACGTGTCCTTCTTCAACCCACCTCCCGCCATCTCTCTCTCTCTATCGGCTTTAATGGCTCTCTCCTCACACTTCGTTTCCATTTCCAACCCTCCATCTCTCTCTCCAATAATCTTCACAAGAAACCCAAAACCCTTCAATTTTCCCGCCAAAAATTTCGAATGTTCCGGTGACCGGAGGCTCCTCAAATCCGGCACAGTCAGAGCCAAGCCTAGAGAACTCATCCTCGTCAACCCATCGGTCACAGTTGAGAAGGGCAAGTACAGCTACGATGTCGAAACCCTAATCAACAAGCTCTCGAGCTTGCCTCCGCGAGGAAGCATTGCGCGGTGCCTCGACGCCTTCAAGAACAAGCTCAGCCTCACTGACTTCGCTTTCGTCTTCAAGGAATTCGCGGCTCGCGGCGATTGGCAGCGATCGCTGCGCCTCTTCAAGTATATGCAGCGTCAAATCTGGTGCAAACCCAACGAACACATCTACACCATCATGATCGGATTGTTGGGTCGAGAGGGTTTGCTGGAGAAATGCTCCGAGGTGTTTGACGAAATGCCGAGCCAAGGTGTGTTGGAACAATATTTAAGTTTTACAATTATATTAATGTTGTGTTTGGATCGTGTATTTAAGTAAGGATTTGGAAATTATGTTAATGTTATGTTTGAATTGTATATTTGGGTAAGGATTTGTAAAGTTAAAAGGAAAATGTGGGAGGCAGGGGTGGAGCCAGGATTCCATTGGGTGGGGGCAGATTTTCAAAGGAAAGGCATAGATCTTCTGAGCTGTCGATGGATTGGCTTGAGTTTTGTATGAATTTATGGCTAAGGTGGTCAAAATGTAGGAATTTATAGAGAAGCGGTAAAGTAATATTTGTTAAATTGCTAATAGTTAGAAGAATCTTATTATAATTAATCTATAACATAATATCCTTGGCCTGTTTGATTCCACTACTAGAGCATAGGATTGGATTATTAATCCAGTGATGTGCACATTCCTATGTTTGGATGACATAAATGAAAGCTAGTTTAGTAATACGTAGGACTTCTAATCCCACAAAATCATGGGGTATTCAATACCAAATGGAGGTAGGTATTAATAATCCCACAAGTATTTATCCTACTAATTAAGTTGGACAGTTAATCCAATGGTGAATCCATGGATTATTAATCCTGTTACTATTATTCCAACCAATCAAACAAGCCATTTAGGCTTTTTTTGATTAACAAGATTAATAGTGAAAGGATTAATAATCTCACTAATTAGTGTAGAATTAGTTATCCAATTAAATTAAATTAGTGAGATAACTATTTATTATGCATTCAAAATTTTTTTTTTCTTTCATACTTGAAATTATGATCCTTAGTCCTTCTCAATATTAAAAATTCGCCAATTTCATTAGATTGAATATCTGCCATACATGTAATCTAGTTAATAAAATTTACAATCAAATATGGGATTGTGAGTCTATGGACTAACAATGCCAATCTTATACTATAATCCTTGTAATCAAAACATGTCTTTAGATCCATAAAGTTTCACAAGTGATTCCATTAAATAAATTATAGAAACTCACGAGTAAACTATATTCTTTTTCTAAAAATTTAATTGCTTTTAGTAATTTTTTGTTTGTTTAATATGATTTCATACAAATTAAATAAATTATATTACTATTTGTTTATTGCAAGATTTTTTAACATATGATTACTAATAAATTTTTTCAATAATGTTAGAATGATCATCTTTTTACCATAATTTGTTTATTATCTTAACCACTAATGTTTGATACCAATATAGTGTTGACACATAAAATAGTAAACAAAACATAGTAAGAAAATACGATTACCATAACATTATTGTAAAAGTTTATTTGAAAAGCAACTCTACTACATTGTGGACTTTACACATTTTTTTGAGGACGTTAGATTGAATTTTGGGGGGGCCATAATGTAATATACAATTTTTTTTTGGAAATGGCATACATATAAAATTGAAGATTTTCAGAAAGTTTGAGGGACCAGGATTCCCCCTCCTAAGGAATGTGATTTTTTTTTGGGTGAAAATTTTGTGATCCAAAGACAGTCTAAATTCATATGTTTTGGGTGGAAAGACGCCAACCAAAATACATGTCAGACACAAACCAAAGATACACATGTTAAGAGACATGTCAGACACTTAGTGAGATTTGGAGATTTTTGGTTTTATGTCGTAATTGATCCATTAGAACTTGCACGGCTTTAGGACAACGATTTGTCGTGCCTAGACCCACAAATCTCACAGGATTTTCTCTTCCTGTACTAGTTATTGTTATTCACTTTTTTTTGATTTTTGATTTCATATTTTTTCATGTTGATATGATATGGATATGTTTTGTGAAAGTGAATTTTATATTTAATTGCTTTCGTGCATAAATCCTCAACAAGGTGTTTCCCGTAGTGTCTTCTCATTTACCGCCACAATCAACGCTTACGGACGGAATGGCCAGTACGAAACTTCCCTAGAACTTCTGGAGAAGATGAAAAAGGAGAGAGTTTCGCCGAGCATTTTGACTTACAATACAGTGATCAATGCTTGCGTAAGAGGTGGGTATGATTGGGAAGGCTTATTAGGTTTGTTTGCCGAAATGCGGCACGAGGCGATACAACCTGACTTGATTACTTACAATACTCTGCTCAGTGCATGTGTTAGTAGAGGTTTAGCTGATGAAGCAGAGAGGGTATTTAGGACAATGAATGAGGGTGGTCTTTTGCCTGATATTACTACCTATAGTTATTTAGTTGAGACATTTGGGAGATTGGGTAAGCTAGAGAGGGTTTCGGAGCTTCTAAGGGATATGGAGATTGGCGGGAATTTGCCGGAGATATCTTCTTATAATTTGTTATTAGAGGCTTATGCACATTTGGGTTCTATTAAAGAGGCAATGGGTGTGTTTAGACAAATGCAAGAAGCTGGGTCGATGCCAAATGCGGCAACTTATAGTATTTTATTGGATTTGTATGGGAAGCATGGGAGGTATGATGATGTTCGTGAACTTTTTCTAGAGATGAAAGTGAGCAATACAGAGCCAGATGCCGCTACTTACAATATTCTTATACAGGTTTTTGGGCAAGGTGGGTATTTTAAGGAGGTAGTGACTTTGTTCCATGATATGGTGGAGGAGAGCATTGAACCAAATATGGAGACTTATGAGGGGTTGATATTTGCTTGTGGGAAGGGAGGGCTTCACAAGGATGCGAAGGAAATTTTACTTCACATGAATGAGAAGGGGTTAGTGCCAAGTTCAAAGGCTTATACTGGGGTTATCGAAGCGTATGGGCAGGCTGCGATGTATGAGGATGCTGTTGTTGCCTTGAACACAATGAATGAGGTGGGAAGCAAGCCAACTGTAGAAACTTTCAACTCTTTGATTCAGACATTTGCAAGAGGCGGACTTTACAAGGAGTCTGAAGCAATATTGCGGAGAATGAGTGACTGTGGTATTGCGCAGAACATAGATTCATTTAATGGCATCATTGAAGGATGTAGACAGGGGGGGCGATTTGAAGAAGCTATAAAGGCTTACGTTGAGATGGAAAATGGGAGATGTGATCCCAGTGAGAGAACCCTCGAGGCAGTGTTGAGTGTGTACTGTTTTGCAGGTCTTGTTGATGAGAGTGAGGAGCAGTTTCGGGAAATTAAAGCATTGGGCATATTGCCCAGTGTCATGTGCTACTGTATGATGCTGGCAGTTTATGCAAAGTGTGAGAGGTCAGTATTCATTCAGTTATTTAACAGTTCATTTATTTCGAATCCGCAGATTTGTTTTTATGCTGGTGGTTTGGTTTTTTGTCATTCACCATATTTCAATAACTAGCTATATTTCTTGTATCTTCTTTTTATTTCTTTTGTTTGACAAACATCTTGTTCACTCTCATTGAATTTTTTTTTTCTTTTTTATTAATAAATTTTTTGTTGGTGTTGCTGTTTAAAAGTAAAGTTTAAGAGTAGTTTCCAAATAGGAAGTAAGAATTTGGTAAGAACTAGGAGTTCGTAGAAGTCTATACAGAGCTATGTAAAGCTCATAGTTCTAAAGATAACATGTCTTCTTAGAGGATTTTGTAATGCATTTGAAGATCTTTTAGGATGCTCTGATACCATGTTAAAATTGATGTATAGAAAAATAGAAAATTGTATTATTGATTGATGTATAGTTATATGTTACAATGACTGTCTTCTTAGAGGATTTTGTAATGCATTTGAAGATCTTTTAGGATTGTGTGATGCATTTATTTTTAATTATTTGTGTGATGCCTATGGGAAAACTGGGTGTGATGGGCATGATGCTAGGGCTTTCTTGTTCTTTCTTTATTTTTTATGCTAGTAAGCCTTGAACTGCATAATCAGATCTATATAAACCCTTTAATCCTCTAACATAGTTCCCGAGGCTTTTACCTTCTCTTCCTAGAATTTATAGTCCTAACCTCATGAAACCACAAAACCAGTCTTGTTACCATTCATTGGTAGGGTACTGTTTATTGTTCGTAGAATTACCCCCAAAATGCTCCTATCCTATCCTTGTTTAATTGCATCCTAAAACCCTACTGATTTTGGACAAGTTTTGAAAATTTAGCCTACCACCTATGAGTTGATTTTGTAGTGAATTTTGAGTGTGGAAAGCTGCTAGGGTTAGATTTATACAAGGTAGAAGAAATATCTAAGGTTTTTATTTGGGAGAAAGGTTAGTTTGGGTTTGATTTTCAAACGTTTAACGTTTTAGTATTCCTAGAAAATTTTATGGTGCTGTAGTGTGGATTCAGTGGTCATAGGATAGGAGAAAAGGTTGAGGATGATTTGAACTTGACTGGTTAGAGTTAGGGGCTGAAAAGGGGGTTGTTTTTGTGAAGCGAAGTCCTACATTGCCTGAATACTAAAGTAATATTAATCATATAAGCATGAGGGCACCCTCACCTTAATAGCTGGTTTTTGGGTTGAGTTCTACCCAAGACCGTTTAACATGTTATCAGAGCTTGAGTACTCAAGAATGTGTAGGGTGCGTGTCCTTGCCTGCATGCCACCTGAATACTAAAGTAGTATTAAGCATATGGCTCTTGGGGTGAGTTCTACCCAAGACCGTCTAACAGTTTTATGACTTTGGATGGTAACTCAAGAATAGTAACCTGAGTATGTGCACAAAAAGAGGGAAATCACTCTACTCTCACAAGAGTTGGGTAAATTCACACAAACACAATCTCAAATTCTTATAAAACTTTAAAAATAGAGAAAACACAAATAAAAGAGTCCAGCTACATACTAGTTTAGAAGGAAAATCCTATACAAACTAATAAATCTTCGGTTCTTAGTTTCTTGCAATATAAAGAACTGCCTTTTTTGCACTTAAACTAAATGTTAAACTATTAAAAGAGCCCTTTGAAATCTGATTTATTTTTCTTAGAACCCTCCTCTACCAATTCCCAAGCATCCACAATCTGTTTTATAGCAAAATGGAACTAAATGCTCTATTAGAGCCTTTTTTCTCTTTGGGTTTTGGCACCGTTTTGTTTAATGTGGCTAGTTTGGTTGGAGCGGAATACACGTACCTTTTTAGAGGTTTTTCATGGTGTCTCTTGGTTACAGACTCGCCTTCTTGTAGTTATGTATAGTTGGTTGGAGGGCAGGGTAGATCCGGATCTATTTGTGTCTTTATACTTTTTAGATGAGGTGATTGGTTAGTGCTTGTTTTATTTTTGTGGTTTTCCCTCAATGGGGTGGCCTTCCTGTATTTGTTGCATCTCCTTGATGCTTTCTCAATAATATTTGCTTATTTATCAAAAATAAAAGAGGCAGAAGCTTCATGATTAAAATATGAGGCTTTCCCCCGCTAAAGAAACTGGATGCTCATTGTAATGATGAGATGGAATCAGTTTCCTGGACTGTAGTTTCTTTTACAAGAAGTAGTGATTTTTTTTTTTTTTTTTGACATAGTAAGCCTGTACTTCTCCATTTAAATTGTAAGATTTCAAGATATATAAAAATCAGTTAAGTGTGAAAAATTTGTCATAGTTAATTTCCTCCTCTGCACTTAACGGAATTAAATTAAAATAATGGTTTTCTTCTTAACAACTTTAATAGGGCAGCCCTAATTGACTTCACTTTTTTGATGCATTAGTTCCACGGATATAGGGTTTGCACAATTTCAAATGTCGGAGTAAATTCAATTGATTTTGAACTTAGGATGGAAATATTACTGGTAGTTTGAGGACTATTATTGTTTTGTTACATGGAAATTCCATACATCTTTTTGAGCTCTGGCACTATTATCGCTGAACTTTTTCGTTCTTTAGAACCAAGATGTGGGCTCTAAATATTCAACTTTGGTTGAATCTAGTTGCTCTAGTTGATGAATGAATTAGAGTCTTGTGGACGTTGTCAATTTTGAGAAGAGAAAAATTAGAGGTATGAGTGGTATCTCATCCCCTTTTATATGAAATCATCACCATAATTACAAGAGTGCCCCAAGGCATCAAATAAGAATACTGAATATATATCAAAATAAAATAAGGAATATTCTAACACATTCTAATACTCCCCCTCAAGCTGATGCAAAGATATCTCTCATGCCCAGCTTGTTAAGAATGTCACGGAATAATATATTCCCTAATCCTTTGGTGAGAACATCAGCCAGTTGGTCTCCAAACCTCACAAATGGCGTACTTATAGTGCCACTAGTGAGCTTTTCCTTGATAAAATGCCTATCAATCTCCACATGCTTGATCCTCTCATGCTGAATTGGATTGTGAGCTATATTAATGGCTGTTGTATTGTCACAGTATAGCCGCATAGAATCTGTTTGATGAATCCTCAAATCCCTCAAAAGTAGTCTAATCCATAATAGCTCACATACACTTTGAGCCATAGCTCTGAATTCAGCCTCTGCACTTGACGGTGCAACTACATTCTGTTTCTTGCTTCTCCAAGTAACTAGATTTCCTCTAACAAAGGTACAATAGCCAGAGGTTGACCTTCTATCAGTGACTGATCCAGCCCAATCAGCATCTGTATATGCCTCCACACTAAGATGACCATGTTTAGAGAAATAGAGACCCTTTCCCGAAGAAGACTTCAAGTACCTCATAATCCGCATAACTGCCTCTAAATGAATCGCACGTGGAGCACGCATAAACTGACTAACCATACTCACTGCGATAGCAATGTCAGGACGCGAATGGGATAAGTAGATAAGTTTACCCACTAGCCGCTGATATCTTCCCCTGTCCACAAGGTCGCCTCCTTGATCCTCACTAAGCTTCATTCCAGGCTCTAATGGTGTATCACAGGCTTTACTTCCAAGCATCTCAGTTTCTTGTAACAAATCAAGTACATACTTTCTTTGACATATGAAGATGCCATTTTTAGACCGAGCAACTTCAATACCGAGAAAGTACTTCAAGCTGCCTAAGTCTTTGATTTCAAACTCATTGGCCAAATACTCCTTTAACCGAGGAACCTCCTCAAACATCATCCCCTGTGAGTACAATATCATCCACATAAACACTAATCTGTCTTCTTCCTATAAAGCTTTTCTTTCTAAAGTTTCTTCTGTGAGTCTTCCTTCTAATTTTTAGGATGCTCTTTCTACTCCTGAATGGAAACATGCCATGATGGAGGAGATGAGAGTCTTGGCTAAAAATGGCATTTGGGAATTGGCTAAGTTACCTAAGGGCAAACAACCTGTTGGATGTAAGTGGGTGTACATAGTGAAGCACAAAGCCGATGGTTCAATTGAACGTTATAAGGCAAGATTGGTGGCCAAGGGCTTTACACAGACATATGGAGTAGATTACCAGGAGACATTTGCTCCTGTTGCTAAGATGAACTCTGTCAGAGTCCTTCTCTCTCTTGCCTCTAATCTCGACTGGCCGCTCCATCAATTTGATGCGAATAATGCCTTCTTACATGGAGATTTGGAAGAGGAAGTGTACATGCACATTCCCCCAGGCTTTGAGGATGTTAAAACCAAAGGAAAAGTATGCCGACTATGCAAGTCACTTTATGGACTCAAACAGTCGCCTAGGGCTTGGTTTGAGAGGTTTACTCAGGCCATGTTGCAATATGATTTCAAACAGAGTCAAGCTGATCATACTTTGTTTGTGAAACACTCCTCACATGGTAAGACGACAACACTTATTGTTTATGTGGATGATATTGCACTCACAGAGGATGATGTTGAGGAGGTTCCTCGGTTAAAGGAGTATTTGGCCAATGAGTTTGAAATCAAAGACTTAGGTAGCTTGAAGTACTTTCTTGGTATTGAAGTTGCTCGGTCCAAAAATGGCATCTTCATATGTCAAAGAAAATATGTGCGTGATTTGCTACAAGAAACTGGGATGCTTAAGTAACAAAAAAGATGGATGCCCAAGACGACGGTGCCACAACCATAGGTCTTCCTTGGTAGATGGTAACTGAATGGATGAATGAACCTGCTTGTCGGCTTGATCCAGGATATAGAGACCATTCGCGTTTCTGCCACTGCCAATCATCTTCCTCGTGATAAGGTCCTGAAACAGACAATGATCAGGAAAAAAGGTTACACTACAATTCAAGTCCCGAGTAATATGACTCAAAGAAAAGATTAACACTAAAATCGGGAACAAGTAGTACAGAAGACAAAGGAAGGAAAGCAGTGGCATAAATTACACTTTTCCTGGACACAGAAGAAATGGTACCATCAGCAATTCAAACTTTATCCTGCCCTGAAGAAAGGGTGTATGTGGAGAACAAATCAGAAGACCTAGACATATGGTCGGAAGCACCAAAATTGATAATCCAAGGCAACGTTTGATGAGATAGAAAAACACTTATAGAAGAAGCTAAGTTACCTGAAGATGAACTAGAGGCTCGACGGTCTAGCAAGTGGCGAAGAGCAACCTCCAACTCAGAAGTAGAAAACCTAGATATATCAGCAGATGAAACAATTGTATTAGAATGATGAGCTCGGGCATTGGACCCACGACCTCTAGATTGACCCGAACGACCCCCTCGAGACCTAGAACGATCTCCACGATCCCCAGATGATGGCCCATGCAACTTCCAACAAGTCTCACGGGTGTGGCGAGGGCGACGACAATAGTCACAGAAAAGGGTATCCTTCTCAGAAGGGGGACGGGAACCACGATCCCCATCTCGAGAGGGTGCAGAAACCAGGGCAGATTGATTAGAAGAGGCAGATGGAAGCATAGCAGAACGACGACTCTCCTCATTCTGTACATAAGCAAACGCTTCTTGGAGAGGAGGAAGTACATCCATTCCAAGCACATGACTCCTAACATGATCAAACTCCACATTCAGACATTCCAAAAATTTGAAGACCCGCACTTGTTCAACAAATTTTCGGTACCCAGCAAAATTAGTGGGACATACAGGCTTGTAGTCCTGAAGATGATCAAGTCTCTTCCATTCATTGCTAAGGAAAGTAAAATATTGGAGGATAGTCGTCTCACCCTGGACGGACCTGTCAATGGAGCGTCGCAACTCAAAAGTCTGTGAAAAATTGCCTTTGCGGGAATACGTAGTGGCCACAGCCTCCCAAATATCCGGTGCCGTGTCCATAGACAAGTATCCTTCACCAATCTTCGGAACCATGGAATGTATCAACCAACCCATGATAAGGGAATTGGTAATTTCCCACTGATCATAACCCGGATCTGTAGGGCTAGGGGCCTGAACGCGTCCATCAACATACTCCAGCTTCCTTTTGCTCTTCAAAAATATAGTCAAACTCTGCGACCACGCTAGATAATTCTGACCATTAAAGAGAGAGGTGGTGATTTTCTGGCCATGGTTGAGGGAGTCAGTCATAGTAGTAGGCAAACCAGGAATTGCGCCCTAAAGAGTAGGCTGTGTAGTGGTAGACTCACCAGTCAATTCTGCCATGAATACTCTACTATGGAACCCTCACAACAAACACTGGTCTAATCACAAACCCAGAAGATGGGATAATATATCAAACAGAACAAACGGAATTTAATAGAACATTTTTTTTTTTTGGAGAAGAAGACAAAAAAATGAGAGAGAAAAGAAACTACATGAATAAAGGAGCACTAATCACCGAATAAGACCAATGTAACCCACAGATCGACGACTGAATCACAGAGAAAAAATATCGACTGAACTCTAGTTACTTCGAGAGTCAACTGAACCAAAGAGCTTCTGAGTGGCTATCGACAACCTGAGGGAGGAGAATCCACCCGACTGAACCTCCAAGCCCATCGACAGACCTGGGCTAGGAAAAAGGGGAGCTCCAACTCACCCTTGGGTGCAGGCGAAGCCTTCGAAAGTTGCAGCTAGGGCTTCCGACGTCCTAGAAGGACGCGACTTAGGACTGTCGGGGCCCTAGGAGGCTGTGAGTGGTCCTGATGTAACCCTAGGCAGATGGCGGTTGGTGGGATGTGGACTGCGGCTGGGGTGGTGGCGTGAAGGTGGCTGTAGGTTGTGGTTTGCTAGGGTTTTAGAGTGGCTTTGATACCATGTCAATTTTGAGAAGAGAAAAATTAGAGGTATGAGTGGTATCTCATCCCCTATTATATTAAATCATCACCATAATTACAAGAGTGCCCTATGGCATCAAATAAGAATATTGAATATACATCAAAATAAAGTAAGGAATATTCTAACACATTCTAACAGATGTTAAGGTGATTTCTCTTTTCATCATTTTCCTGTTTGTAAATTCATCTCATATCCTGCCATCCATATTTTCAGGTGGGATGATGCCTATGAATTGCTGGATGAGATGTTCACAAACAGGGCATCCAATATTCATCAAGTGATTGGGCAGATGATCAAGGGAAATTATGATGATGAGTCGAACTGGCAGATGGTGGAGTATGTGTTTGACAAACTTAATTCTGAAGGCTGTGGTTTGGGGATAAGGTTCTACAACACACTTCTAGAAGCACTCTGGTGTCTGGGGCAGAAGGAACGGGCTGCCAGAGTTCTCAATGAAGCAACAAAGCGGGGACTTTTTCCCGAGTTGTTTCGTACGAACAAACTTGTGTGGTCTGTGGATGTACACAGGTACGATGGGGTATTTATCACTCATTGACTACTTTCTTCTCCCAAGTAGAAAAAATCTACATCACCAAGTATTGTTAGTTTAATTTAATGCTATGTTTAGTTCATTGGAGTGAGTTGGAATGGAATGATCATTCCATCAAAATATTGATTCTCACATTTAGTTTACTAAAAACATATTAAAAATGTATTGCGAAATGGAATCATCATTCATTATTGTAAAGGAATGATCATTCCATAAGACAAGGCCGGCTCAAGACAAATTGAGGCCTAAAGCAACAAGTTAAAATGAGGCTTTTACTATTATGTAAAAAGTATTTTTCTAGGATTTTGATATACGAAATTACCAATTAAATCTTCCTTTCAAGTTTTGTTACACAGTTTAATACTTCAATTAATTTTAAAAATTCTTCAAAAAGTGTATTGTCTCATAATCTCAATACCAAATTTCTCATCAATTTATAAGAGAGATGTCATATCAAAGCATAAGAAACTTTTGTAAAATTTGTTAGTTTACTTATCATTACTCATATTATATATTTATTATTTCGGTTAGTAAAAGAAACTAGTAAAAAAAAATATTTATTTGTATAATATTACTTATTTTAAATAACAATTTTAGGCCTTCCTTCTTCATGGGTGGAGCCTTTTTTTAATTAAAAAATGATAAAATTATATAGGCCTTAACTATAATTTTTGAAAATTTGGGGCCTTAGTAACATTTGTTGCCTAAAGCATTGGCTTTGATGACTTAAAGGGTAAGTCGGGCCTGCCATAAGGACACTAAAAAATGACAATTCCATTCCAATCCACCTTCATTCCAATGAACCAAACGCCACCTTAAAGCAATGCTACACATATCACACTTTTCTACCACAGTTGATAATTTGATTTAGCATGTGATGTGTTATCACTATATTGGTAATATGCATAAGTGGTGGGACCTGGACCTGTTAAGCCAATACAATAATGACACATGAGATGGTAAACCAAATGTGGCATGTGTAGCATTACTCTTAGTTTTATTGTCATATTGATGTTGATGATTCTGCAGGATGTGGGCAGGTGGTGCTTGCACAGCAATATCTGTTTGGTTCAATAACATGTATGAAATGTTCAAAAATGGGGAGAATCTTCCTCAATTGGCAACTGTTGCTGTAGTGTAAGTTTTTTCTTCCTCTTCACCACTCACCTTCATTTTTCCTTCTCGAAACAACTTGAAGATACTTGGGTTTACGAATGACAATGGTTTATTTCTCTGTTAACTAGACGGGGGCAAATGGAGAAGAGCTCAATAACACGAGATTTCCCTGTTGCAAGTGCTACCTATTCTTTTCTGATAGATAATGTTTCGTCATCCTTTCGCTTCCCTGGTTGGAACAAGGGGCGAATTATCTGTCAGCGGTCTCAGCTTAAAAGGTTTTTGTCTGATACAGAGCCGTCTTCAGATGGGTCCAAAAAGGACAAGTTAATAACTTTAAGCAACACTCCCTTTCCCCTTCTGGGGATGAGAACAACCACAGCTGATGTCATGAGAGACCAACATGGGAATGCTGATACCAAAACAAGCATTAAAATGACAACAGAGCTTTTGACAAGCACGGTATAATAGATGAAACAAAAGTATAGATCACCTTTCAGGGATGGTTGTTCTGGCTTAAGAGATCACAGCAATTTAATCGAAATGAAAAGAGGATTTGAGGATTTCATTCAGATATATTATAATGTTTCCTCTTGGTGAAGAATGAATTTATTTTGGTACCCGTTAGAAAATAGCCGAACAGTGGATACATGCTGTCGCAGCAGTTGCGGACTGGTTTGATTGAAGCCAATTTTTCTCTGTGGCTTTACCTGAAGAGAATTGAGCAGAGGTGAGAAAATGGTTGATTTTTTCAAAACTAATATGTACATGAATCTCTTGTTTTAAACATTTCTTTACTTTAAAAAAAAAAAAAAATGTAAAGTTGTGTTTGAATTAAGGATTTGGAGAGGGATTTGTAAAGAAGAAGGAAAAAGGATGGTACCCTTTTCCTTTCCCTAGTCAAATCATTGATCCAAACACAGCCTAAATGTTCTCATTGATCCAACACAGCCTAAATGTTCGATTGGCTTCATATTTTTGTACTCTTAATGAAATATAAATGTCCAAAAAATAGTTTTCGTTAACCTACTTGCTGCATATTTGTAGGTGCTTTGGTGACCACTGGTGTTATAGGTCAAGGCTGTCAAGTGCTACCTCGTTGATCTCTCCACCTTGACGTCAGCCATCATGTAACAGGTACTTTGATATAAATAATTAACTGAAGAAAAATAGACATATGAAGATTCCTGACGGTGATTTGTCTTGCAAAACACTTGTTAAGTGGTTGCTTTGGCCATCTGAAGTAATTATGTAATCCAAGTTCCTGAAAGCAATGTAGAATTCTAAAGTCTCTCCCAATACAATATTCCCTCTGAGAACTGGTTGACATTAGTATTTTGGCACGCAGAGAGTTTCTAAATGGCTAGATGCTGAATAAAACGTCAGGAATTATATAGAGATAATGTTCAGATATAGAATAATCTGTTTGGTTTGGTTGTGTTGAGGGAAAATTTAGTACTGAACCAAACTCTTTAGTTTTGTTAGATGAGGAATCGAAACTGACCCACATTAGTACGGTTAACTTTTTGTCGGTTTTCCGTTTAGTGTAAAAAATTAACTAGAGGTTTTTAAAGGATTTTATAGAAACTTATAGAATATCAAGATAAATGAAAAGAGAGGGTGGGGACTGCTTTATAAATGCCTTCCTCTCAAACTTTTATTTAAGAGCTGTAGCATTGGTCACTCATCGTTTAATGTTCAGAGAATAAGAATATTGAAAGTATTTAAATATAATATTTTAGTCATTTCGGTTGGTGAGTGTTGTACAACTTTCCAGAACCAAAATAGATCATACCTTAGTGAAAAAATGACTGAAACCCAAAATTTCAGCTGGTCTCCAGCTGTTGGTTCGGTTCCATCCTTGTTTATATATATATATACACATTTCAGGGTGGAGGTTGAAGGTTCCATTTCATGGAGGGGGTTTCTTTCAATCATATTAGGGAATAAATCTTCTTCCACGGTGGTTGGGCAGATTCTGTTGTGGCTTAGTTGTGGAGTTAGCACTAAAAATCTAGAATCTTGGATTTCAAAGGAGAATATTGTTGGTCAAAGGGGAAGAAAGTGTAGATGTGCACTTCTTGTAGAATATATAATCATGTAGGGCAAAAATTATTCAAATATTACAACTTGCAAAGCACTCATTCTATTATATATAATTTTTGTTATGGATGTTCTAACCAACTTTACATGTTGTCAATCTCCTTTCTTTACATAGCATACAAACAAAGTAGGGTAGGAAAGAATAGAAAAGTCTCAATGCAGCCCACCAAGTAAAGACATCATCATATATATATATATATATAGGAAAGTAGTGGTTTTTTCCTTTCTTATATGGCACATTCTAAGGACTAATTTTTTTTTTTCTAAAAAAATTACATCAGCATGTATTTCCATTTACATGTATAAAAACCTAAATTCAATTTAAATTATACTAACTTTATCTATTTTTTATAGGTTCTATTTGAGTTTTATATGAAATCTAACTACAAATTCTATATGGATTATACTTTGATTATATAAAATATTTTCTGCATTATTTTATAGAATCTTGATTGGTAGCTCGAAAAAGCCCTCCCCCGAATCCCCCGAATTTGAAAAGAAGAAAGAAAAAGAAGAAAGAAGAAGGAAAGGAGGGGCCAACATTAACCAGAGGGGGGCTTAAGCAGAGGCGGAGGCAAAGGCGGGGGCAGGGGGCAGAGGCGACGGCGGGGCTGGGCTGCGACGACGAAAACGGGGCTGGGCTGCGACGACGACCGGGCTGGGCGATGATCGGCGATCGGCGAACCTCTCTTCTTTTTCTCTCTCTCTCTCTCTTCCCATCTTCTTCTCTCTTTCTCTCCCTCTTCCTCTCTGCGTTTCAGACTGGAAAATGGAAGAAAAAAAAGAAAAAAAAAAGAAGGAAAATGTCCAAAACGATGTCGTTTTGGGCATTCGGGGGATTCGGGGAAAAAAGTTTCGAGTTACAAAACATTATTCTATTTTATATAGTAATTACAACTCACAAGAAAAAAAACCCTACATAATAATGATACTTTCGAACAACTTCTAAAGTTTGGATTTATGCTTGAGTTACTTTTGCAATTGCGAAACAGTAAGTTCTTTTATGTTTTGATATCATATTACAGATGATTATTCACTTAACATACTGAGATATATCTATTGCTTGGATGTTTTCATTTATTTTTTTATTTTTGGGTTTAGATGTTATTATGAGATTCTTTCTTGATTAGTCGTAGTTGAATTCATTTTATATAATTGATATTTTAATTTAATTAAGAGTGTTTATTCTACAATCATATAATTTAATATATATCATATAAAATCATTATAAGATTATCTAATTACAACATATTTATGTTTAAATTTTTCAATAAATTTTATATAGTTTCTATTTCTACACATTTTTAAATTCCAAATGAATATAAAAAAAATTAAATAGTTAGATTATTATTAATTTTATGTGACTAATTCTTCTTCTAATTTAACTATTATTTTTAATATCAAAATGAGTATTTATTTTACTATCTTATAATTTAATATATATCATACAAAATTATTATATGATAATTACACTTTTATCATACGATAGAACTAAAATGATCAAAATACACAAATAATTTAACTAAAAATTAATATATACTAGCGGGCGGCACAGGCGGCAATTCAGATAACTAATAATAAAAATAAATAATAAAGAATTTGATATCATAATATGTATATTGCTTAAGTGATAAGTATGTTCTTAATAAAATCTAAGGTGTTGGGTTCAAAATTTGCTTACGCTGTATATAATAATTTTTTTATTTTAGCATATATAAAGTTGTCACGTGACATGAGGAGAATAAGATTTTACCAAATCAATTTAGGCATTCACTTTATAATAGTATAGATAAATATTTAAGTAACATTTTTATAAAATGATAGTGCCAATATTATTAAAATAAATAATTAAAATCATACTTTAATTTTAATTTTTTTTATAACACACAAATCGTACCATTAAATATTTTTTGAAAAAAAAATTGCACATATGTTATACGGGTGAACTACTAGTTATGCCTAATAAACACCTTAGTTTAGAGCCAAGATAGTGAAACCGGTAGGCTACTATTAATGAAGAAATTTTTTTAGATAACCAACAACATGAAAATGATTAAAAACAAGAGTTTATGTGATGATTTTGAGAGTAACATTTGGTTGATAGTTTTAGAATTTGGAACATATCAAGTAAATTATTTTGTTATTTGTATAGAATAATTGGTTTAACATGCCAATTTCATAAACGTTGTGTTTGGTTGGGAGATTTTGGAAATGATTTGGAAAGGAAAAAGAATAGGAAAAGGAAAAAGAAAAAGAAAAATGTAGGTAAAATGTGAATAAAATATACCTATATTTTATCTAATTTTATATACATTTTCTCCTTTCTCTTCCAAATCTCTCTTAAAATTTTCCAATCAAACACAATGTAAATATTACTTGTAATCAGAATCCTTAGTTTGTTAGTAGTTCTCTCAAATTAAATGAATTGAGTTCAATTTTAGTGGGATATCAAATCTGGCTTAATAAATTTAAGGGAAATGTTTGAGGGCTCGAAATCACTGGCTCGAATGCCCCGAATGCCCAAAACGACGTCATTTTGGGCATTCCGTTTTTTTTTTTCTTCTTTTTTTCCGTCATTTTCGATCTCTGCAATGCAGAGGAAGAGGGAGAGAAAGAGAGGGAGAGGGAGAGGGAGAGAGAGAGAGAGAGGTCGCGTCGCCTGCGCCTCCCGCCGCCGATCGCGTCGCCTCTGCCGATCGCGTCGGCCACCGCCGATCGCGTCTGCCTCGCCTCAGCCCCTCCTCCTCCATTTTTTAGGCCCCCTCCAGTCCTTCCTCCCCCTCCCCTCCCCTCTCCCTCTCCCTCTCCCTCCTTCCCTTCTTCTCTTTTGCCTGAAATAAACCTTACAAACAATATTAAACTCATCTTCATAAGAATTGAAACCTACTATCTCATATCATAAAGTGGTGCTACATAACCATTAAACAAAAAGCCCTAATTAGGATAAAGTCTTAACTAAGTTTTAGTATTTTTTTATTTTTTTTAAATGAGGACCTTTCGCTTAACTAAGTTTTAGTTTTTTTTTTTTTAAATGATATATTTTATAAAACACTCACTATTATCTTTATAATTTTAAAAATATCATTAACACGTCATTTTGAATGATTTTTTGTATAAATTTTTATTCGTAAATTATTTTGATATCATCATATTTATTTTTTAATAATTTTAACGGTGTGAATTTATAAAAATCTCTCAAAAAAATTACAAAATCAAAGTTCCAATTAATTTTTATTTTACAACCCCACATAGAGGTTTTGATAAAAATAATTTTTGTATGAGATTTTGAAACTCTCATAATATCTCTCCTTAAAAGTATTCTTTTATGAAATATATAGATATATCGATAATCTCAATGTTACTCTTATTGCTCCTTAATACAAAAATTATGAGATAATTATGATAATTTTAGTGGGTGTGGCCATGTGTGTGTGTGTCATTGTGTGGGTTGGCTTTGGTTGGTGATTCAACAGTAGAAACGCCATTTCAAATGGCGTTTTTAAAAAAAAAAAAAAAAAAAAAAATTATTATATGCACAGTAAAAGCGCTATTTTAAATAGCGTTTTCTTCAGAAATTTTTTTTATGTTAAAAGCGCGATTTGGAACAGCGTTTTCTTAATTAAAATCGCGATTTTAAATAGCGATTTCACTATTCATCAACTTTTGGCCTCCTAACAGTAAAAGCGCGAATAGTAATGGCGCTTTAGCTTAGTTTTGGAATTCCGTCAGAAGTTGACCTAGTTTTGGAAATACAATGTAAAAAAAACTTATATTGGGAAAAGCCCCTGTGTTTTCCCCTTTCCTGAATGACACATTTCAAGAGTTTATTTGTTTTTAAAAAAAAATTTACGGCTCCGTTTGGAAAGATGGTTTATGAGTTTTTTTTGGTTATTTTAATCACAAAAGATAAAATAAGCTATTTTAGTCACAACAAACAAAATATCACATCACATCTAATCCATATTATACTCCTCTCATCAAAAAAAAAAATCAAAAAAATCAAAAAATCAAAAAACTAACCTACTTTCCAAACGAAGCCTACATCAGTATGTATTTTCATTCACACAAACCCAAATTCAGTTTAAATTATACAAACTTTACCTATATGAGCTCTCTTTGAGTTTTACATGAAATCTAAATATAAATTCTATATGGATTATACTTGATTATACAAAATATTTTCTGTATTATTTTATATAATAATCACAACTTACAAGAGGAAAAATTTA